TAAAAAATGCTTCTTTTTTACGGTTTTTAACATTCAAAATGGCGGATCTAATATGGCGAACGTTAGGTGTAAAATTAATAAAATTTGTTAACACGGAGATTTTAGGATCGAATCTGAGGTCATATTTTTAAAATTCAAAATGTCGGATCCAATATGGTGGACTTGATTCGAAGTTTTATAAAATTATAGATATATGGTAGTTTTCGGGGTCAGAAAAAAATTTCCTTAAATAGAATAATATTAAACTTAGTATTATTATTTTCTTTTCTATTTTAATAAACTTTTTTCCTTTATCGGATTACTTTTATTTGAAATAAAATTTCTCGCTTATTCATGTTTAGTGTGGCAAAGTCACTTTATTGTAAATGAAATATTCACTCCTCTTAGATTTAGGTTCTAGTTGAAGTAGATTTCTCACTTTAAATATATAAAGAAGCGACTTGAATTTAATAAGCTCACGGCAGTGCAGTCTTCTAGGGTTTAAGGCAAATTTTCTTTTATACAACATTTAAATTTATACTAGCAAATTTTATTAAAATTATTATTATTGAAAAATATTTTATTTACCATCTATCAGTATTTATACTAACTTGATTTAATTTTTATCGTCTTAAATTAATTCAAATTGTACACGAACAATCTGTAACTTTTTTTTAAACATTAATTTAACCAACAACATTTAAGTATTGAAACAATATATTGTTTCTTTATTACTATTTTTTAATGTCATAACACAGGGGTCTTATAACCCCGGCTGTTGCATAGCGGCTTTATATATTAAAAAAAAAAAAAAAAAAAAAAAAAAAAAAAAAAAAATTGTCATAAGTAATAAATATTGAAATTATTTCACTAAAATTGTTATAACATTCAATATTCTTATCGATTCGCACTTTGTTCTTCAAATTAGAAATTCATTCATGAGTAAATGAAAAATTGTGTCGCAACAGGTTTACACATGCAGCTTAAAAACATTTTTTCCCCTTTGGACCCCCCATCACTATGATTAATCGTATTGGAAATAGTCTATTTTTATCAGACGTCCCAGGCTCCCCTGCCAACTTATGATAAACTATATTTTTCTTATTTACAAATTCTGTTTCTATTACCACCATAGATAAAGTGTCAAGTGCATTTCTATTAGGAAAGTTTAGATTAATAGAAATATTTCTGATGATACTGGTTAAGAGGAGAAAAATTATAATACCCTAAATAAATAATCTTTGAAAATAAAATATATCTGTTTAACCCTTTAAAGCCCGAATTATTTTCACCGATTCGATTTCAACCACACTTGGTATATAATGGTTTTTGGGGTCGCTGATTACGAATCTGAAGTCAAAATTGCAAAATTCAAAATGGCGAATCCAATATGGCGGACGAAAAAATTAAAAATAATGGGATTTATATGAAACTTGTCACTCGGGGGTTTTTTGGGTTGCTGATTACGAATATGAAGTCAAAATTGCAAAATTCAAAATGGTGGATCCAATATGGCGGACGAAAAAATTAAAAATTAATAAGATTTATATGAAACTTATCACTCGGGGGTTTTTGGGGTCGCTGATTACGAATATGAAGTCGAAATTGCAAAATTTAAAATGGCGGATCCAATATGCCGGATAAAAAAATAAAAAATAATGGGATTAATAAGAAACTTGTTACTCGGGGGTTTTTGGGGTCGCTGATTGCGAATATGAAGTCAAAATTGCAAAATTTAAAATGGCGGATCCAATATGGCGGACGAGAATTAAAAATTAAATAGGATCTACTTGAATATTGTTATCAGCTGACTATCATTTGTTCTTTTTCATTCAACTCATGCGCTCCAGGGTTGTCAATTGTTTTTATTGATTGGCCAGCTGATTTTCATTTGTTCTTTTTCGTTCGTGTCAAGCGTTCTAGGTTTCCTTTCACAAATGGATTAAATTTCTTACTTTTATTAAACATAATTCGCCCTATTAGATCCACCACTATGATTCTTAACATTTTAACCCCAGAAACCCCAAAAACCCAAAGCATCAAATTTAATGTCAATCCCATTATTTTTTATTTTTTTGTCCTTCATATTGGATCCGCCATTTTAAATTTTGCAATTTTGACTTCTTATTCGTAATCAGCGACCCCAAAAACCCCAGAGTGACAAGTTTCATATAAATCCCATTTTTTATTTTTTCGTCCGCCATATTGGATCCGCCATTTTGAATTTTGCAATTTTAACTTCATATTCGTAATCAGCGACCCCAAGAACCCCCAAGTGACAAGTTTCATATAAATCCGATTATTTTTTATTTTTCGTCCGCCATATTGGATCCGCCATTTTGAATTTTGCAATTTTAACTTCATATTCGTAATCAGCGACCCCAAGAACCCCCAAGTGACAAGTTTCATATAAATCCGATTATTTTTTATTTTTCGTCCGCCATATTGGATCCGCCATTTTGAATTTTGCAATTTTAACTTCATATTCGTAATCAGCGATCCCAAGAACCCCCGAGTGACAAGTTTCATATAAATCCCATTATTTTTTATTTTTTCGTCCGCCATATTGGATCCGCCATTTTTAATTTTGCAATTTTGACTTCATATTCGTAATCAGCGACCCCAAAAACCCCCGAGTGACAAGTTTTAAACGAATCTGATTAATTTTTTTTAATTTTTTCGTCCATCATAGGAGAAAATGTATCTTGACACTTTTTTTATTTACTATTATTTTATTTATTTATTATTATTTTTTTACTTTTGTTTTTTTTAATTATCTGCTGGAAGAGTTTTACTAGAGCTAAGAATTTAAAATTTTTAGTAATATGTATTAGTTTCAAAGTTATGATGACTTTAATGCATTTGTGGTACAGCGTATGTACCACTGGGCGTTAAAGGGTTAAAGAAATAATGTAATTTCATTATATTTAAAAAAATTTAGTATTTTTAAAAAAAACTTGAAGAGTATAATTAGAAATAACCCAATAGGAAATGCCAGTGTAGTGCCGATGTTCACCACTGGCTTAGTACTCAGGCGATTGTTCGGCGTACTCTAGCCGAGCCTCGACAATTAGAGCTGGCGCAGTACAGAATTTTTGTTTCGCCGAAGCTTGGACAAGCCACGGCGGCAAGTGCTGTCTGAGTATAGAAAAATTGTTCACAACGCTCTTTGCCAACATTGCTTTTTTGCCATAAACTTGAAAAAAATTATAAAAAAAGTTTATGAATGTTTATAAATATAAATTTATTGAAAAAAATTAATATTTTACTTTTCAGTTGTTCATTTTTTATTTTTATTAAATTTAATAATAACAATTTAACACAATTGTCTAATTTTGTAAATAATAAATTATTTAAACAAATTAAAATTATAAACAAAATTTAAACTTTAATCTCAATAATAATTTGGTTCCTATTAAAATACTATTATACTTCTTACTATGAATAAAAAATTATTAAAAAATTACCACGTAATTTAAGAATTACGTAAAATGTTAAATGCAATAAAGTAATTTAATTTAATTATTAAAAATTTAGTTTAACTTATTTTATTTTAATTTATTATTTCTAACGTATCCCTATTTTTTTCTCATCTTTGACTCAATAATTGTATGTCTGAATGATACTGAGATATTAATACTTTACTGTACACATGTGTCGTTAGCATAGTGGTTAGAGCGTTAGTCTGTTAGTCCGTAGGTCGTAGGTTCGATTCCCCTCGTCAGCAATTTTGTTTATTTTCATAGGTTTGCGATATTTCTAGATTCCAATCGTTAGGTACTAAAATATGAAAATCTAATGCACACTTACTGTAATTGTTTATTATTTAATTTTTAAATGTTATAAACAATTTTTTTCTACTTCATTTACTATATCCATTGTTAGTCTCCATCTTTAATACAATTTCTTTAAGAAGAGAAATATTTTATGAATAATAACTATTTATTAATATTATTTACCATTTTGTTGTTAAATTATTTATAATAATTAATTTACAACTAATTAATAACAATACGGCATTAATTGCGGCAATATTCTCAGCCAGCACTGGTCCAGTGCTGCGCCAGCGCTGTCTGGCAGCACTGACAGACAGTACTTCGGCAGCGCCAGACGGCGTTATCATCCCAGTGCCATGCCAGTGCTGGCTCTCAGCCTTGCCGCCAGTGCTGCCAGTGCTGGCGCAGTACTACGCCAGTTGTAAATTTCCCATTGGGAAGGCAGAAATTTTAAGTGAATTCAGGTCAATTGAATGAATTTTTAAAATTTTTATCCGCCATTTTGAATTTTTCAAAAAAAAAAAAAAAAAAAAAACCCCTTGACAATTAAAAGTATTCCTTTTCACCGGTACCGGTGAAGAATCATATTATTATTCAATTTCAAAGAACATGAAAATTCGTTAATGTTTATTAAAAACGATACTTTGTATATTGAATAAAAGAAGGAATTTAAATGAAATTTTAATCTTCGCTCCGGTGTTTCACTGAATATCCATTTTTGTATTTTCCTTTTGCTAACTTATGCGTAAACGAATATGATGCGACAATAATATTTATTGTAATTAAATCTTTGCCGATATGGCAATGAATTTTTTTCTTTTAATAAAATTTGAGAATGTTAATTAATGAAAAGAGCTCCATTTCGATTTATTCGAAAATATAAATCACATTGATGAATGTTAAGGATTGAGATAGAAATGTCTTCGTGCGGATATTGATTGAGAAAACATCTTCTTTCACTTTCATGAAGAAGATAATTTTTTTCAATTCTATTTCTATATTTCTTATGAAGAAAAAGTAGCTTCTTTTTCTGATCCTATTGTCAGCATCTAAAGCTATTTCCACCATTTTTCGGCTCCTTTCTTCAAAAAAAAAAGATTTTGATCCTATCTGGTGTGAAAAAGTGCGAAATGCTGTTTCCTCCCCCTATTTCATCATAAAGTGGATTTAATCTCAGAAAATCCCCTGACTGATTTGTGATCTGATTTATAGGTACTTAGGAACATCAACTTTTCTGTTTGACAGGCAACCAAATAACGGTTCAGAGAAAAATCTTGGATTCAAAGAAGAAGAAGGAGGATCGATATTGAAAGGGGAAAAAAGAAGAAGGAAAGGGAATTAGGATATGAAAAGAAGTTTTTATGATAAAGAGACAATTCGCGAAGACGGTGCCCAGGAAGGTTTTTAAAGAAAAGTAAGCCGCAGGCGGAAAGAAGAACGCGCACGTTGTCGTCCCATTGTATTCGAAAAGAGTGGAGGAGAAAATGGCGCATGCTCTTCGTCCTGAACGCACATAGCCTGGAAAGCACGATTTCCAGGTTTGACTCGAAAATCCATAACGTGTAGGAGTCGTCCTGCTGCTGTTATTCGCGATCCACGCAAGCTGGGAATCCTGCGTCTCTCTCTCTCTTAGTGTGTATACGAGGAGGGAAACCGCGTGGTGCCAGTTTCAACTCAGCAGGTGGCCAGCTCACATCAACAAGAATGAGAAGCGCCACGCCGGTGGAGGACCACGTGCCTCTTACCCCAAATTCCCTAATGGATTATTAATTTCCAATACGACTTTTAGTCATCAAAATTTTTTTTCTCTCCCAATTCCTAATTAAAATCCTAATTAAAATCAAATTGAAATTAATGAAACTCCATTTGTGATCGGTCAGTTTGTCCCTGTCAGTGGAGTAAGTGAGCAACACGTGGTTATTGCCGAAAGCTATTCGGCTTTTCGTAAAACGAAATTCAACTAAAGGCTAAATTACCAAAGTTTATCTCACCCCCGAAGAATTTTAAGTTTCCCTAAAGAATTTTTAATTTCCGGGAAGAAATAGTGATTCAAATCGGACATGGATAGTGTATCCCTTAACGGAACGAACCCTTTGGAGGGGAATTACGTTCTCGATGTGTTGAACTACATTAACGAATTAAACGATACGAGACTACATCAGGAATTGGAGTGCAGGACGAGGGAACTTATGGTCAATAAGCCTGATAAAGGATGTGGTATCAATTGGGACTCTCTTCTTTGTTGGCCGGCCACTCCACCTGGAACAGTGTCCAAATTGCCATGTTTTGCTGAACTACACGGCATCAAGTACGACATAACTCGTGAGTACTTTTTAAATTCCTAATTCATTGCTAATTCCCTACTATAGTCACGTTCATAAATTTTAGAGTATTCCCAATCCTCAAATTAGATATGGTCTTCTTCGTGGACATCTTTGGGATTGTAATTATAAAGATATAAATTTCTGGAGTCTGGACAAGGGTCCAGGATCCAGAACAGTAGGATGTTCGGAATATTCCGATCCAGTTTTTCCCTTAGAATAATTAATAACGGATTCAAAATTAATCGACGTTTAGTTCCCTTTACTGGAAAAATTCCTCTTCCTTCAAAATGGAAGCACCTAAATGTGCCATCAACGGGAATTAAGTTTTCTGCTAGGAAAAATTAATTCCAGTTGATGGCAAGATATAATTAGTGGACATCTCTGGGGGTGGTAATTATAACCAACAGATATAAATTTCTGGAGTCTGAACAAGGGTCCAGGATCCAGAACAGTAGGATGTTCGGAATATTCCGATCCTGTCAGGGTCCCCTTAGAATAATTAATACCCGTTTTAAAATTAATCGACGTTTAGTTCCCTTTACGGTAAACTTCCTCTTCCTTCAAAAACCACCTGAATCTGCCATCAACGGGAATTAATTTTTCCGCTCAGAAAAATTAATTCCAGTTGATGGCAATATATAATTAGTGGCCATCTTTGGTGGTGGTAATTATAATAACAAACAGATTTAATTTCTGGAGTCTGGACAAGGGTCCAGGATCCAGAACGTTCGGAATATTCCGATCCTGTTAGGGATCACTCGTTTCAAAATTAATCGACGTACGAACCCTTGAACAATAGCCTTTGTAAATGAGGATTAACTCCGAGAACCCAGGTAATATTTTCTTTCTCCCTTCATCGCATGAAAGACTAGATAGTGAAACTTAAAATGTAACTTAGGTCGTGGCAAAATTTAAAAAAAAAATAATAAACCTTTCAAGATTTCCACAACTAGGCCACTCAAGTTCTTCTTCTTCTTCTTTCTTCAGCTGAGACATGGAACTTTTTTTCCATCATCTACTTTTCGGAAATTCACCAGGGGAGATTGATCTGTTTTTTTCTCCTTCTGTTCTCTGAACTCTATGATCGTACAAAGTATCACTCTTATTCGAATGTTTTTGCAGATTTGAAAAAGAGTACTTTCGCTCACTGTCCCGAGGGGATAGATAGTTTTGCAGGAATAGGAAATTTTTTTCTGCTACAAGAGGGAATCGAATTTCTCCGGAAACTCAATTAAGTTTCCACATATATATATATATATATATCGTTTGGTTAATAAACCTTTCGAAACAAATAAATAACAGTTTTCATTTTTAGAGACTACAAATTGAGAAAATTGTTGGGATTTTTTTTTTGCTAACTCGATTTATTATTTTTTTTTTGTTATATAATCGTAAAGGAATTAGAATCGATTTTTAAGCCGCGCATTTCTTTTCGAATTTGGTAAATAATTATAATTATCAATATTGGTTTCGTAACCCTTCTAGTAATGATTTGTTGTCTGTCAACGCATTTGTGCGAAACATATATATATATAAATACAGTTATGATGACCTAAATATAGAACGCGTATATTATTTTATGTTCCACTTATAAGTATACTGTATCGTAAAAAAAAAATAAAATAAAAATCGTAATACTTTATTTTGTTATGCGTATGGCAGTAATTTATCATTTCGTTTCATGAACGTTCGTGGCTATTTAACTATTTCTTATAAATCATGTAATACTTAATAAGTTTTCATTAAAAATGTAATTTTATTCTTTATTGTTATTAGAAGCTCGATGTCAGTTTTTGAAAATTCAAAATGGCGAATCCAAAATGGCCGGAAAAAAAAATAAAAAAAAGAGTTAACGCTCCAAAAAATCACTAATTTTAACTTTTCGTTGCAAATTTGATGTCTGTATTTGAAAATTCGAAATAGGAAATCCAAAATTTAAATAAATCTTCAAAAATCACTTTTTTTTTTTTTTTTTTTTTTAAATGAAGGAAAATTAAATAAACTATTAGATTTTCGAAAATCACAATGGGGGGGGGGGTTGACACAACAACACAACGGAATAAAAATACAAATTTTGAAAATCCAGTAAAGTTATAAAAAAAAATTTCTTAAATGGAAAAATTGAATAAAAGTAAGAAAGAAAAGTGATAAAAGAATTTTTTTTTTAATTTAGAAAAAACATAATTTTTATGAAGAAAAATAAAATATAGACAGCTTCTGATAAAAAATAGCCGAGATCTAAAAAGATAAAATTCGAGTACGTGAAATGCTTTATGTGGGACATCATTTTAAGCCAATAGGTTTGTGTGTTTCAGTGTTTGGAACGCAGAGCACGACAAGTAAGGGGTCATAATCGAATGTCAATTTTGTACGCGGATCTTTTGAAGAGAACCCCTCCCTCCCTCTCTCTCGCTCTCTTTTTCTCTCGTCTTGAAGGATTTTCTGCCTAAGAGAGGCCTTTAGGAACCCCAAACCATTAACGGACTCTTAAAAAGAAAGAAGTACCTTGAATAGGGTATTTTTGGAAATAAAAAAAATATCTTTATATTGAGAGGGAGAGAATAAAATTATTGAGAAAAACTTTCGCTTATTATACAAATACCAAAATTTTCATATTATATGAATCTATCGTTTAAAATAAAATAAAAATAAAAATTATAAAATGAAATTTATAATAAAAATTAAAATAAAATTTAAAATATCTTAACGATAATGTGTTACTTTGACTTTTAGTGCCTATAACGGTTTACCTTTGGCTGTATTTTTTGGTTCAAATATTAAAAAAAAAAAAAAAAAAAAAAAAAAAAAAAAAAAAAAAAAAAAAAAAAAAAAAAAGGTTTATTTGAAACAATATAAGTTCAAAAATTTAGTAGAAAAATGTGATTAATTGCAGACCTTCAAGAAATTATAGTTAAACTTACCCCTCGTTGATAAAACACTAATATAATTTTAATTTTTTGTCTTTCGATTAGCTTCAAGAAAAAAAAAACAAATTTAAAAAATAGGTTCAGAAAATTTTTTTCTCTCTCTCTGCTCACAGCGAACGATCAGAAAGCATTCCAGAAATATTAAACGAAAAACGAAAAACAAATCTGGATTTAGTATTTCTCATGGACCTAATATATATGTATAATATTTTGCACTCTACCATCGCTGTAATAAAAAGTATTGAAAATCCCCGATTTCGCATTCAAGTGGTCTAGGTTTTGTGCATATGGAATCGAACAACTTTATATAGATTTTGTCATTTCCAATACTAGAATTTTTAACGTAAAAAATGCAATAAACATTTAATATTCAATTTCTGAAATATTAAAAATTTTTTTTTTTAATTAGATAAGGGAGGAATTTTTATTTCTCTTTTATTTAATTAAATTTAATATTTAATTTCAATGAGAAAATTTCAAAAAATTGAAATTTAAATCTGTTTTTAAAAATCCAAAATGTCGGATCCAATATGGCGGACGGCTTTTTATAACATTAAATTAATTACGCACCTAGAGTTACTTTTTCAAAATTCAAAATGGCAGACGACTTTTATAATATCGATTCAAATTGCTTGAAATCTTTTTACTTTTTGAGATTTTTGAGGATGGTGATTACGAATCTAGAGTTATTTATTTAAAATTCAAAATGGTGGATCCAATATGGCGGACGACTTAAAAAAAAATGGACTATACTTTCCTAAAAATTATTTCTCAGGGGATTTTTGTGGTCACTGATTGCGAATCTGAAATTATTTTTTAAAAATTCAAAAACGCTGATTCGATTTCACTCGCACAATGATTGTGCATTGTTATATAGTATTCCTGGTTAATTGGAAAAAAATAATTACGCTATCCATGGAAATAAAAAATAATAATACGCGATAATAAAATATGCCGCAGCAACTAGTAATTTAGTAGCAGCTCACATTACTGACCTTAAATGACCTTAATTGTCATTAGCATAAATGGTTATCCATAACCTTTTTTTCCCCTTCATTGTTTTTTTTTTTTGCATCTACAGTGTATTCATGTTCATTCGATTATTTCGTATTCAGACTTTATAGATGTAACATGTTTTTATCTATTGATTTTTGAACCTGGTTGTGTGCTATTATATCATTGAAATTGACAGTTATGTTCTAATATTAAATTCAGACGTAAATTAAGCATTTGGGGAAATTTATTGTTAATTTTTATAAATAGTGTCTAAAGATATGGGTTGGATAAATAAAAAATTAATACAAATCAGAGAAAAATTTATTTTTTGTTTCAATTCATACATTTTATTATTATGATATTAAAATAGTTTGTCTTTGAGTTGGAATATAAATTAAATATGAATAACATTATTAAATAAGAAATTTAAGTAATTTTTTTTTTTTATAATAAATATTTAATAAATTTTAAACTTTATTTAGTTTTAATTTCTAGTATTGCGGGGAAGAAAATTAATTTTTATTTTATTAAAGTTCTTTCGGTTTTGTATACTCTCTTTTATTGCTTCCTTTTTTCCTCATTTCAGTGTCAATCTCACGCTTTTTTAAAAATTTTTTTCTCGCTTTTTTGTTCTCTCTTTACCCCTCTTTCTACATTTATTTTCTCTTGTGTTTTTTTTTTTTTTTTTTTTTTTTTTTTTTTTTTGAAGAAATGTCATATAACAATTTCTCGTTATTTCATTCTGTAATCGATATGAGCATACAGGAGAAACCTCTAAATAAAAAAATTTATTTGGAGAGAAGTATTTATTTACTCTGTCCGCAGTGAGAAAAATTGATTACTTTTAACCAGATATTCTAATTTCCGAAAATCGTCGGAAATTGTCCAAAGTCGTCTGCAAGACATTGTGCGAATAGTCGGAAGTTTTCTCACTATCGCATGATTATGAACAAAATGTTTAATAATTAAAATCTTTATATAAAAAAAAAAAAAAAAAAAAAAAAAAAATTTGCCGTATTAAAATCTAATATTTAAGAAATTTTTTTTAACGTTTCACTGCTATTACAATTTCTAC